CTTTTAAAGGACTACATACCAAAACCATCTAGAATTCGAATAACACAAGGTTTTGTTAATGCAATTGCTTCTTCATACACTAGCAACTCAAATCAAGATATAAGCGAACCAAAAGGAATGGCATTCATCTCAATTAGCGAAAAGGGAGTCAATACTGCAAAAACAGGAAGCTAAATCATCTTCTCTATAATTTTTAAGCTAAAATTCTTCTCTCAACCATCGGATTAGCAAAGCTTTTCAGCTTCCACCAAATGGCATTTTTCACAAAGTCCAGACAATGTGATCGAGTAAACGTCAGAATCGATGGTAGGAAATCCAGATTTTTCAGGTAAATCAAACCAGCCAAATCCATCTAGCATTCGTCCATAGTATTATAGCTTTTATGATAGTAGAATGACAACCATTATTTGGCAAAACAAAGTTTTGAATAATGTTTTTTTAGAAGAATTTATGTTTAAAAAGTAGGGAAAATTTTGGGTTTACGTGCAAAATATTTTACTTTGTGAATTTGTGGTCGGAATTGAGTATGTAAAAAAAATCAAATAATGGTCGCCAAACATGTAAGTGTTATGCCCTAAATCCAATCAATTTTAAACATAAACACTTTTAACATATATAATCGATGAGTATTTATGGCAATATCTATTATTTAATTAAATTAATATTCTAATAGATTAAATGATAGAATCAGTATATTCAAGTCTTAATGATTTGTTAATCACGAGAAGTTGTGATTGTGAGACACAAATTATATATGACTTAATCTTAAATCGTTTGTGGTCGTATGTAATAACGAGATACGAATATCGTTATTATGGATAGACCATCATGTGTGGCATCTATTACTTGTGAAGTAAGTAGTGGATCTGACAAGTTAAAGTGTGGTGACATTTGAATGAACACGTTGATATTTTGTTATAAAACAAAACATTGGAGATTCGCTGGGAGATTCCACATGGATAACTATCTAAGTGTCACTGATTAATCTCTAACGTACGGTAATAGAATTGGTCATTTGACTTGAGATCGTCATAGTGCCTTATATGAGGACAGTCATACTTTGGTATATTGGGTGTTGCGACGCCGAGGGTCGCTAATACAATATCATTCGGGTATGTCAAGAATCATATGAAGGTTGTGAATGAATAATAGAGGATTTGTCACTCTTAGATATTAAGAGATTATGATCTACATTTTATCCAGATAATTTGATAATGAAATCATTGACCAATGTGAACTTATAAGTCGAAAATGAGTTTTCGACTTACATTGACTTAACGGTGGGATAAAAGATATGATAAATAATTGAGATTGACACAAATCCATATCTCATAATTGATCAGATCATATTGACGAAAAGATTATAATTTCACGGTAAACGAACAAGTATGATTTTGTCACACTACATGATATTTTTCGTCATATGTATTGCCTTGACACAATTGCTAGATGTCAATTTGGGATGACGAATGTGAATTAGTGATAAATTAAAAGTGGTGTTTTAATTTATCTATTTTGATTAGATAAAAATAATAATTCACGTCGTTAGATATCGTGATTGAAAATCTAATGGGTCACACACAAAAGAGAACTAGAAGAATGAAATTTACCAATTAATTAATTGACAAGTATTGGACAATTAATTAATTGAGTTGCTTATTAATATACCCGAATTAATTAAGTGGATTAATTAATTCATGGACCAAATTTAATTAATTTAATATTGGATCGTGTTAAGTTTAAGAGACAGGTTAAGCCCGCTTGAGTTTATATTAATAGGCTGTTAGGGTTTGAAAACAGTATAATTCATTATTCTTGCTAGCACAAGAAAAGAAAACCCTAGTCATCATTCTTGTTCTCTGTGTGGATCATCATTAGAGACTGGATAATTGAACAGCTTGGATTGCAGATCGTGATCATTCGAGTTTGAAAATCAACAAATGAGTTTGCAGAATTCATCAAAATGTATTATTCTAATCACGATTTCTATCTAAATACAAAGCAGATCCGTTGTGGGAATTGGAAAATAATTTATTTTCTACCGTGCATGATTAAGCAAATTCTCAATAGTGGTATCAGAGCCTACTTTGT